GACCCGGTCGGGTCAGATGTGACCCGGGTCACTTATTCCACTAACTTCAATTCTTCCACACAACATACATACATATAGTTTTCAGTTCTAATTTGTGTACGTGTCTAGACTCTAGAAAATTAAAGCCACTTTGTTAATCAACAATAAGGTTGTCAATAAATAGATAGTAAACATAAATCATGAATAAATATTACAACTGCACATAACGAATAAATAAACCATTAAGTTCCCATACCATAAATCGTTCTTATATAAGTAGAATTGAGCATATTGTTAACCAATTAGGGATGTTAACCCACATGGCAATATGCTTTGATCTGAATTAAACGAAAAACATAAAGAAAATAAGAGGAAAGTTATTAGTTGATTCGATCTCTTATTGAATCCTGTTAGAGAAGTAGTCACGTACACGGGGACTTGTTCCATCTATATACGAATCACATTGAAAAAACGTGGTTCCTGAAGGGGTGAATCACCAACACCGTCATTGGGAAGATATATATAGAGCATGATGATGATTATAGATAAAAGCAGATCCATGGTTAATGAATAGGAGAAAAATTGTGCATTTGGTGAAACTAAACTGTGCATTAAATGATATTGAAATGTGAAAAATAAAAATTTAAACTCAAGTGTGCATTAGATTAAACTGATATGTGCGAAAACAAAGTGTAAAAATAACATCACATCGTACTTTTTATTCTGCACATTGCAGCTTCACCTAGTGCACATTTCAATTTCACGTAATGTACAATTCAACTGCACATAATGCCACTCTATCGTACCCTTTGTGATGCATATTTCAATTTCACCTAATGCACATTACAGTTTTATCTAATGCACACTGAATTTCACTTGAAACAAATCTAACGGTCCAGATTCGTTCTCATTTCTCTCATAAGATCGTGTTCTTATTTGAACCAAAACCTAATGACTTAATATGAAAAACATAAAAAATCTCATGAAGAAATGCATTACCTTAATTAGAGATAGTCCAATCTATGAGTGAATTACATATTTTGAAAATAAGTATAGTACTCCCTATGTCGGTTAAAACTTTGTCAAGTTTGAGTGGCATGAGAATTTATAAAGTAAAGATTGTGTAATTGAGGTTTGTGCAGAAAAAAGAGAATTAACCTTGAATCACAAATTCTTTATTTAAAAGGGAAAGTGACAAAGTTTGTGTGACATCCAAAAAAGAAAAATTGTCAAAATTGTAAGGGACGAAGTAGTATATTTCAATATTACATATAATTAGTTGTTTCCGATAAAAAATACAAAAATATCAATACAAACTAATTGATGAACCGGTTGAATCACACAAGAGAAGAGTAAATTATGTGTGTAGAACTATGATAGTTTTTCGCCAAGTTCTAGTGCGGGGCAAGGGAAAACATAAATTAAAGCACACAAAAATTTAACAACGAAAAATCCCTTGGCTCGATAGACATTAAAAAACATCGACCTCCCTTGGAGGCATTTGAAAAACTCTTCACTAAAAGCCTTTAAACAAATTACAAGATAAACACTCCTGGTTTACCCTTTAGCCACCCCAACTCTAACCTTTCTAGGTAGAGTTCACACTACCTTACCTTGTGGGTAAGGAGTCTCTTGGCTTTACAATAAAGCTCTCACTTCACACACCAACCCTAGGAAGAAAACATTTTCAATGTTCATCTTAACACCAATACAATAAAAACAATTGAATTACAAGGGATAGAACTAATAAGGATGTTTTTAATTGGACTGTAATTTGGTGGTCTGGTCTGAACTGGTCTATGCACGACCTTTGTAATTGATAGGGATGTCTAAGAGCTGCCACAACTTTATGACATTTAAAAGCTCTCCTTGTCGGTCAAACTCTCCTTTGTTGTATCTTTCCCTTTGAAGGTGGATTCTTTCATTTGAACTCGACTCTCTTAAATGTGCTAGATCATGACTTGATGTGCTCTTCTTAATGTGCTCGGATCTTCTTATATATTTTCAGTCCTCTTTGTATGAAAATGATATAAAAATGTTTCCTTGCATATATTAAAAAATATTCTTTTTATTTGTTTGAAGGAAAACATTTTTCTTAAGGAAACAATCCTCGTGAGATCAGAGGAGATGCACGAAAATCTATTTTAAATTTGGAACCTAATCCTATCCTATACACCATGTAATTATAATTAATTACTCCATCTTTTTTTCAAGACATTTCTCTTATCTTCCTTGATTTTCTTCTTTCTTCTTCCTCATTATCAATCTTCAGTTTCTTTTTTAATCATATCCTATCCTATATACCTAAAGAAGAATCCCTTTCCCGCAACTTTTCCCGCTTCTCTCCCCTAATCAATACACCGTGTAATTATAAATAATTACTCCATCATTTTTTCAAGAAATTTCTCTCATCTTCCTTGAATTTATTCTTTCTTCTTCCTCATTATCAACCATTTCTTCTGTTTCTTTTTCAATTTGACGTTAGTCACAGTGAAAATTAGAACATTAGCGGAGCTCTGATAATTCAACCGTTCAATCCCTTTAATGTCTCAACGTACCGTTCGTTCTGTTTCCCGGTCTCATCTAATTCCTATGTTCCTCGATCTTCTCCGCCTTCGTCCATCTCCATCGTCTCCTCCATTCTTTTCAGTTTCACCCATCCTCATCAATTTTAATGACAGCCTCTGTGTCAAAATTTCGTCATAAACACGGTTCAATATTATGATTAAGATATGAAATTTCGTTGTCTACGCTCTAGACTAAAGTTGAAAGTTTGAAACGGATTAGGGTTGAATTCAATCATCTTTAAAACGACTTACACTTGCCTAATTTGTTTGATCTTAATAAAATTGATGAGTTGATTATTTTTACCGTAGTTATTCATATTTTCTAAATGTTTTTGGTGCTGGTGGATGATGAAAATTATAAAAACTGCAACTTTGTTATAACGAATCGGATCAAATCAGGGGGTGTTCCGTGTTCCAATGATATCTCATATAGGTTATCTAGGGTCTGTTTACTAACAGAGATTTTTTCCAGTTTTCCAGAAAACTGGAAAACTGGAAAACAGAAAACAGGAAACGTATTTACCAAAGAAATTCCGGGAAAACTAGAGAAAAGAAAAAAGAAAAACGTGTTTACCAAATCGTTTTCCAAAACGGAAAAAATGAGACATGTCTCTCTTTTCCTTAATGATTTGGAGAAGTGACTTTTACTAGTTTTCCAAATTTGGAAAACGCAGATGCTACAATGCCGCTGCAATGAATTTGCATACTTACACCTAGTGGTGGGTCCGGTCCCGCTTCGATGTCGATTCCATTCCGGTACCTCCATCCTCGTACCGTACCCCTTACCCCTACCCTACCTTACCCACCCAACCCCACCCCGCATACCCACTTTCCCTATAATGACCCTACCCCACCCCCTACCACATGCCCCTACCCCGGCCCCACCCCGATCTACCTTACCCTACCGCCACCCCCCTACCACCTCGACCCCACCCCGACCCACCCTACCCTACCCCCACCCGTATATTACCCCTTACCACATGCCCCTACCTCGGCCCCACCCCACCGCCATCCTACCCCACCCTTCCGCCATCCAACCACCATTCTACCCCCCCACCCTACCCTTCCCTACCTCGGCCCCACCCAAATCTCGGGCCCACCCTACCGCCATCCTATCCCATTACCCCTACCTTACCCTACCCACTACCCCCACCCTTACCGTCATCCTACCCCCCACCCCTACCCCTTCCCATCCTCAGCCCCACCCTGGTCTCGGCCCCACCCTACCGCCATCCTATCCCAACTCCATACCCTACCTCTACCTTACCCCAAACCCTACCCACTACCCTTACCCCTAACCACAACCCTAACCCACCCACTACCCTCACCCAACCCCCTACCCCTAGACCTTACCACCCCACCCCGACCATACCCCTACCCCCACCCATAACTTCCTTACCCCGACCCCTACGAGTAGGTATGGGTGGGTATGAAGGGTTGTGGGGAGTATGGGTAGAGTGTAAGATCATGGTAGGGGTCAAGGGTGTAGAATTGGAGAATTGGGTGAAAAAATTGATGAACATGTTTTCAGATTTGAAAATGGAAAACTAAAAAATAGAAACAAAAAATTGGAGATAGAAAAACTGAAAAATAAAAACAGAAAATTGGGGAACGAAAAACAAAAGTAAGAACAGGAAAATATCTCTGTTAATAAACAGGCCCTAAGGAAAATATGTTTTCTCAAAGTTTTGAATCTCGGTGGCTGATGAAGATTTTGCAATCTAGGAAAGCAAATTGTCAAGTTGGTTACAAGTTAATTTTAAGTTTAATATACTTATTGGAGTGAACAATTTAAGACCATCTCACTTCTCAAATAATGTGACAGATTATATACCACTACAAAAAAACACGGGATTGACAGAGATTTTGGCACGAAAAATTGATAAGTCCGTGCCAAATTCCGTGTCAATCCCGCCTTTTTTTGTAGTGTTACTCATTTGCACAACTAAAGAGTTATTATTAACACAGGGCAAAAAGACTGACGAATTTGAATTTTCTTGGTCAATGATGGTCAAGTTTGATCAATGATATCTTTTAATACAGAATTATTTAAAATATGAAAATTATATGAGCATGTTCTCCAAAACAGTATTTCATAATAGTATAAAATTTATAAATTACACACAAATATAATACCTAAAATCATTGTCTATACTTTAAAACCGACAAAAAAAACAAATTGATCAATCTTTTTGGGACGAATGGAGTATAACAAAAGTCAAATATAAACTCATAAGTGGATGTACAATACATATAACTCAAACATAACAAAAGCAGAGCACCATGTATCGCATCCTATTCTTTCACTAAATGCGTGTGTTGATATATACATGTGATTGATTAGATATATGAAAAAAGGCATAAAAATGAAAGCATGTTTCTCTTGGACTTTCTTCCTATGCTTTCACTATATGTATGTGTGGATATATAGATATTACTGATTAGATATGATGAAAAAAATGAAAGCATGTTTCTCTTGAACTGCTTCGTGTATTTTTCAGTTGCTTCAGTTCATGGTATATGTCTTTTTAATGAAATTCAGCAGTTGTTGTTACAAAGGATGGCAAGTTATCTGCAAATATTCTTCCTTTTTGTTTATAAAATGAACTTAGTTGTTTTTAACACTAAACAAAACACCGTAAGTGCAGAATTCCACTTCAAAACAAGGTTAAGCATCTTTTTTTTAAAAGGTATGGCGATGCTTTTTGCAAATGATTTGTCCTTCGTAGCTTCTGTTTTAGAGGTTTAGAGCTAAATAAAGATATAATGCTTTCAATGCTTGCTGAAATAGTCTCCCTCACATGTGTTTCCTCCTCACCATGGGAATTGTCCCTCTAGAATGCTAACGGCCAGTTTACTAACAGAGATATTTTCCTGTTTTCTACTTCTGTTTTTCATTCTCCAATTTTCTGTTTTTATTTTTCAGTTTTATCTCCAATTTTCTGTTTCTATTTTTTAGTTTTCCATTTTCAAATCTGAAAAACATGTTCATCAATTTTTTCACTCAGTTCTCCAATTCCACACCCTTGACCCCTACCCCTACCCTTACCACGATCTTACACTCTACCCATACTCCCCCACAACCCTTCATACCCACCCATACCTACTCATAGGGGTCGGGGTAGGGAAGATATGGGTGGGGGTGAGGTATGATCGGGGTGGGGTGGTAAGGTGTAGGGGTTGGGTGGGGGTAGTGGGTGGGTTAGGGTCGTGGTTAGGGGTAAGGGTGGGGTAGTGGGTAGGGGTTGGGGTAAGGTAGGGGTAGGGTAGGAAGTTGGGATAGTATGGCGGTAGGGTGAGACCAGGGTGGGGGTCGAGGTAGGGAAGGGGTAGGATGGCCGTAAGGGTGGGGGGTAGTGGGTAGGGTTGGGGGTTGGGGTAAGGTAGGGGTAGGGTAGGGAGTTGCGATAGGATGGCTTGGGTGGGCCTGGGATTCAGGTGGGGCCGAGGTAGGGGAAGGTTAGGGTGGGGGTAGGATGGTGGTGGGATGGGGCCGAGGTAGGGGGCATGTGGTAAGGGGTAAGGTAGGGGTAAGGGATAATATACGAGGGGTGGGTAGGGTAGGGTGGGTCGGGGTGGGGTCGAGGTGGTATGGTGTGGCGGTAGGGTAGGGTGGATCGGGGTGGGGCCGAGGTAGGGGCATGTGGTAGGGCGTGAGGTAGGGTCATTATAGGGAATAATGGGTACGCGGGGTGGGGGTAGGGTAGGGGTAAGGGGTAAGGTACAAGGATGGAGGTACCAGAATGGAATCGACATCGAAGCGGGACCAGACCCACCATTAGGTGTAAGTATGAAAATTCATTGCAGCGGCACTGTAGCATCTGCGTTTTCCAAATTTGGAAAACTAGTAAAAGTCACTTCTCCAAATCATTAAGGAAAAGAGAGACATGTCTCATTTTTTCGTTTTGGAAAACGATTTGGTAAACACGTTTTTCTTTTTTCCTTTCGCCAGTTTTCCAGCAATTTCTTTGGTAAACACGTTTCCTGTTTTCTGTTTTCCAGTTTTCCTGTTTTCTGTTTTCCAATTTTCCAGTTTTCCAGTTTTCTATAATAGGATTACTAATTCTACTGCTACTACTTTGATGTTTTACTTAAGATTAGCTCCAAATGTGATACACATGCTTAGCTTTTCCATAAATCGTTATTTAAAATCAGGTAATTCTAATTCAATCTTCCATTTTTCTTTATTAACTATTGATTATCATGCTTCCAACTTCGGCCTTTTTCCAGGAAATTTAAATAGCTTTTTATTTGAGTAGAACCAAACAAACACAACATCATACAAAATGTACATGTGTCTTTATTAATCATACGTAAACAATGAGTGCTTCTAATCCTATATACTAAAGGGAGAATCCCTCTCACTAGCCATTTCCTCATCCCTGATCGAACATCACCTCCTGCAAGAGTTCACCAGTTCCATATGGAGTGGATGAATTTCTTCTATTAATACCTACATTAAAAAAAGTTGTGTGGTTGGGAGGACGCTACGGTTAAGGAAATGTTTAGCAAGCCACATCCATTACATAGTCAATTCAAAGTGTCTTGGAATTACATTTGTAATTTTAAAATTAAAAAAAATCCAAGTATAGGAAATTTCAATTACCTCATGTCTATAAAGTTTCATACTTCGTATTTATTATTCAATTTGTTGTCTGAAAATAGAATATTTTCTTCTTTGGATTTATTTTTTAAATAATGCTTATAGAGTAGTGTTAACATTAAGTTTAGAGTAGTCATCTAATGTTCCAGGTTCAGATTGGTCATGCGTAAAAGGGCTGCCAAGTACATAGAGAGAGGGAGGTTCGGGTTAGGAATGGGCTAGGTATAGGACTGGCCAAGACACTGTTTACTAATGATTCTTCTAGGGAAGATTGAAAATTTTAAGCATGACCAAGGTTTTGAGCTATAAGCACTCTCAAATTTGTTCCAAATAGATGTTAAGAAGGGCTTTTGCAAATGATCCATGTTAGTATTTAGCAGTAGCGTGCTTTCTAAACTTTTAATGTGACCATAACAGTTTCTTTTGTTCACTTTTAGCTGAACTGTTAGTGCATGTAGACACATTCATTTACTTTGTTGGTTACTTCTTATGATCTTTATGTAAAATAGCGCACTTTCGTTGGACGATGATGATTTGTGCTAGAGACAACAAGTATGGAACACTGGATGGTGATCACAAAGACTATTGAGACACTGATGGGTTCAAAAACACGACATGCCTTCTTTTTTCTCTCTCTTACAATGAACCATGTCATTTATGTTGGATATGTTTATGCATCTTCTTTATTTAGAAAAATCATCCTTTTATTACTATATGTAAATAGCACAGAAGAAGCGGCATTGAGTTTCTATACTTACTTTGACCATGTTGAATTTAAGTTGGTCGCTTTGTTATATCTTTTATGATATGCTTTTTTCATGGCATATATAATTACAACTGTGGATAAAAGAAAGTCATGTATTGTTCATAAAATATGATTATGGGTAAGGTCTGCATTTTGGGGAGTTATTATTAGAGTTGAATGAGGATGTATTATTCTCTCATAGTTAATGATTCAATATTGTTAAATTCAATGTTTGGTTCTCTTTAATTAGTGAATTGTCCTTTTGCAAGAAAGGATTGGAATACTGCTAACATTAGGTTGATATTGCTTCTGTACTTTGGATTTCTTTTCTTCTATTTTCTAATTGTTTGTTGCCCATGGGGATGGATTTGTTCCTGTTTTGCAATCAGGTCAGTAGGCAAATAATTAAACCATCAAGTATGTTATTAGTCTGTCGGAATTAAAATTCGTGATATGTAGCGACAATTGATATAAAAAACTGCAAAAAAAGTCATTTAGAAGGTCTTTAATAATTCGTAATGTGTGTACTTATTAAATGTATTTAATAAAAAACTGCAAAAAAGTCATTTATGATTTATCTCATATGTGTGATAAATGTATTTATACATTTGACATTTATCTCATACGGGTGGAATACGTACTAGTGCTTCTCTATTTTCAAAATTAAGACCTATAACTCTTAGTAATTTCATTAACAAAGTTTTATACACAATGTTGAATTAATACTATTTAGCACTCTTATCTATAAGAGTGCCCCCCACATTTATATCCAATAATTAATGTGTACTCTTATCTCTCCCGCTTTTTTTTTAAACAGTGGGGAGGGGGGGGGGTTGGGCGCAGTGGTAACTAAACCACTACCCCAACGCACGCACACGGGTACTGCGAACCGAGAGAGCTCTCGGTAAGCCATATCTCTCCCGCTTTATAAGATACATATTCATCAATTTGTTTTTAGATCAATAGACTTTTATGAATGAATTTCGTTGATTTTCAAAAATCTATGAAGTTCTTAAAAAGGATATTTATCAATTTTATGGAAAACATAAATTTAAACAAGAAGTATGTTAAATAACTTTCATAAGTCTAAACATCGTAAGAGATCAATTACACGATTACACAAAATGATAAGATACAAATGCAATTCATCTAGTAATGCCGAGTTCTAAAAGAATAAATAATGCCTAAGCATCAAAGTTTATTTTCATCAGAGCATCCCCAATGCATGGTAGTCTAGTCTAAATAAAATATGACACATGTCAAATAAATGTAAGGCTTTCTAATACACATAATACAAAGTGGAGTGATTAGATTTTGAACTATGAAAGAAGGCTCCAATGCTTACTGTTAGGGCGGAACTTAAACACCCGATTGAGATTAAATTAAGAGTAAATTATACGAATTATTGCTTTTAATTTTGTTTGACATAGCAGCTCCCTACAAAGTAAATCAGTCAACTCCATTTTATTGCTCACCGTAAACCGCCGTAAACCACCGTGGCATGGGGTGTTTGTTTCCCATGTAAAAACGAAACTCCGATGACTGCTTGAATTACCACTGGAGCAATTAATCATCTGTGGGAGGATTGAAGGCGAAGAAATTTTTTATATCTGCTGTCATATATAGAGCTCACCATGTCATGATTTAATTTGGAGAAATAAATTTGAATGCTTTTTGCCTCTTTTTAGACCCATAGTTTTTCGTAAAAGCTTTGTCTTTCTTAAATGATTTGTCCAGTCAGCAAGTTTATCGTAATGTCCACACTCGGAAATTTTCCTTTCACACCGTCTAATCATTTTTTTCCCAACTCAGCAAAAGCAAATGAAAGACTACATGCGTTGGAGCGGGTAAAAGTCTAATGCAATGAGGTGGCGTATTTTTTCTTAGACTAGACATTCCGCATTGCGGATGCTCTCAGAAAACTCAAAATTGGGAGGATGAGTAGTGAACTCAATCTCATTATGATCCATTGTTACGTTATATTACACTCAATGAGTAAGACTGTGATAATTTTTAGACAAGTGTCTTACTTATTGAGCTACACACGGTACAAACATAGGTATAATAGAGTAAAATTCACTAGATTTTACAAATTTATCACTCATGATGCCTTTGCTTGGATTGAAATTATTTGGTCTCCTAATCTGGTCTGGTCTAATCTGAATTGATCTGGTCTGGCCATCTGGTAAATGTCTGGTCTTTGTGTATTTTATAATTATCCAAGTCTAGTCCGGTTCGGTACCATGCCGGTTCGGTATTTTTGCCCACTCTAGCTTACTCGTTCATTATACATGACACCCCTAAATTTGTGAAACACACCTGATCCATTGACAGCATTAGAGATTTAGAGATGGATAGAGGAGGAGTGCTGCCACTGTGCCACTGCCACATCACTTATATTTCTCCAATCATAAAATCTTTCCACTGCGCTCAATACCAAATAAATACACTGCCAAAACCTAGCTAACTACCAGTCTCTCTCGTTCTATCCCCGAGAACAGAATTGAATGGACTGATCATATTTCAGGAAAAGGGATTGGCAAGAAGAAGAAATAAAAAAAAAAGGTCAACGCTTCGAAAGACGAGTGACGTCAGAGTCAACGTCACCATCCAGCATGTCCAAACCCTACAGAATGAGGACCACCACACCTGCCCAGTGGGCTTAACCAAATCCCACCCCTACGATCTTATTCCATTCCTTTCATGTATCAGATATATACCAACTCTCCCATTATTCACTGTGTTCTTAATCTCCCTCTCTCTATATCCTCAGCTCCCTCTCATCCAAATATCCATTTGAAGAAATTTAAACCACCATGTACACAAACACCAATGATCATACCCATTATGCCTACTCCGCTGAGCGCTACAACGGAGGCGGCCACGTTCCATTGCCCGCAATGGTGGTGGCACCCGATGCTCTCACATCGGTTCACCTGCGGCAGCCTCCGATTGCGCCCAGCGGTAACTATGGCTCGTTGTCGCCGCTGAAGTGGGAGATTGGGTGTAGCGGCTGTGAGTATAGTAATAGCTCCGCTCCTGGCTATGGAGTGAACAGTTTTCAGAGAAGCATAAGGAGCCAAAAGAAGAGGGAGGGATATTGCCCTCCGGTTGTTTCTTTACCGATCGGATTTCTTGATCTGGATTCTAGTCCGGTCAGGAAGATTTTCAGCACTGGTGATTTACAGGTAGGGTGAGCATAATTATTAGTGGTTGCTTACTTGGCTTTGCCAAAAAAGTCACGTTATAATAATAATAATAATAATAATAATAATAATAATAATAATAGTAATAATAATAGTAATAATAATAGTAATATTAATAGTAGTAATAATAATAATAATAATAATAGTAATAATAATAATAATAACAACGACAATAATAATAATAATAGTTATTTACAATAATAACAATAATAATTAATCATAAAGAAGTATCCCAGGGGCAAATACATTTAATTTATAAATTTCAAAATAGGACTATTATTATTTTATTTCCCAAATAGAAGTAATTACTCCAGGAATGGGAAATATTCATTGATTTGTAATTACTTTTACTTAGGGAACAGTAAATAGTACTTTTATTTTGAAATCCCCAAAAAATTGTAATTCCACTTAATTTATCTATTTATAATAATGATTAATTTTAACTAGCAAAACTGCAACCTCTCTTTTGAACGTGTTAAAAGACCTCATATAAAATAAATATCATAGGTTTTAAGAAGAACTAGTTTTAAAGTAAATAGCTCAAAACGTGAGTAAAAATGGACGAATTTGTAAAATAAGATTAAGTATGTCTTGTAACCAAAATAAGGCCAATTTAGAACTACGTACTACTTTTAAGTATCCTTTGGAATTTTAAAAGGAGATAAGCTACGTGCGGCACAAAATAAACTATTCAATTTTTGTAGAAAAAGTGGGTACTATATCACTATATCAGGTATGAAGATAATTAATATTCAAAATTGAATATTTAATTATCACTAAAAATTTCCAAAGATCTGAAATGCAATATAAAAAAAATCAAAACAATTTTTCGGTGAAAAAAAACCCAAGCCTAAGAACCAAAATGGAACAAAAATGACAAATCTAATAGGGAGTAGTAGATTTTTCCAACAAATTTACCCTCAAAAGACGAAGTAACCGTAGTTCTAAGGCTATGTTTGGCAGACATAAGTCCCTGACTTCTAGCTTTTGTACTATTCAAAAAGTTTCTAAAAGCTTCTAGTTGTGTGTTTGACATCATAATATTTAAGAGCTTTTCAAAAATTAAAAGATCTTTTTTGAGATGCTACCGGGAGTAGCATCTAAGAAAAGCTCGTGACTTTTAATATAAATTAATCCTAACAGCTTGTATACCAAACCGAACTAAATCAAACAGTCAACTTTTTATCAAACAGCTATCACCTTTTCTTATTAAGATCTTTTCAGTCACTAAAAGCTAACAGCTATTAAAAAGCTCACAAAAGTATCTTTTCAGCTAGTTGTGCCAAACATGCCCTAAGAACGAACAAGAAAACGTGACCGGAGATCTAATTCTAAGAATAAACTAATTAATATGCTTATTTAGTGGCTAAAGTGACCAAAACGATGCCAATTAATTTACGAAAATACTCCTTAATAGAGGGTGAAAGAGTGACGGTTCGGCTACTTTAACTCTGGGTCTCAAATATGAACCTAATTAGCAAATAAATAATCAAGAATAAAACTTATTCCCAAAAAAGAAATTAAACCAGAGGAATAAATAAAGAGAAGTGTGGAGTAAACCATAAGCAGAGATGGAAATAATAAGTGCGTAAAACATAAGCACAGATTGTGAATTGAAACTCCTGAAGAGAGTCCAGAGGGAGAGAAAGCTAGGAGATATATATGTAGTTTGAACAAATCCTCTATATTTCTCATTTAGGGTACTTTATTCCTCCAATAATATATGCTCTTTTTTGTTTACTTACTCCCCTTTAATTATCATCCATTTTTCGGTTAAACAAATTATGTTTTTAAATATAACTGTTTGCGAAATTTGAACTATGACTATGATGGTACATATATTACGATAGATAGATCTATGTTACATAGAAATATTAAATACACATACATGGGGAACA